TTAGTGATTCCGGGCGCGACAACGATTACGGTAATTCTTCCCGTAAGTGTAGTGCACGTTTTATCGCGGGAGGTGGCGGTAACAATCCCCAGCTGGATAGCAAGACTCAGTGCCGACCTACACGTCTGTTCAAGGTGTTTTTTTTAACTAGTTATCTCTTATCAACTAGGCACAGCAGCTGCTAGGAAAAGATCTAAGTTTCCATCTGGTCTCCCGGTATATGTGGGTAATGTATGTAAGTTTAAGTGTCGAGTGAGGATAGGACAAGGAAGGGACAGGAAATAACGCGCGCGGTCCGTGGCCCTATTCATACGTTTCTGCTCTGCCATTCGCTGGTATTCATTGGAGAAACCACAGAAAACTACCGATCAGAGTAGCCGATAAAATACTCGTCCAGACAGCGGCAGAATTTGAGCTAGCTATGTAGCTAGTGTCGAAAATCCTGCCCCCGTTGGGATTCGAAAACTAGGACCTCAAGGTCTCTAATTGCCTACGGCCTGAAAATGTATAACACTTTGACAAATGAATGAAATGGATCACTCTTTTTTAGATGTCCATGAAAAAGAACATTACAAGGAGATTGCAGCGTTTCAAATGGTACAAATACCTAAAGCACTTGAAATACCAGAAAAGCGAATATTGGATCGCAAGGAAAGCAAGACATTTAGGAGATTAACAGGAATAACATCCTGGTGTAAACGGAAATATATCAGAGGCTAAATAAGCATTAAAGTGTTTAACAAATAAATTCTGAACTGATCATTCAATTACAATAGTGATGAAGTTCATCACTGACAGAAGGATGAAGTAGATGACGTGGGCACACATGATGGGCTCATTCATTGTCTGCTCGCCAAAAGCTAAAAAGACGTACATGTTAATGATGTACATGAAAAGTGTGTAGGAATAATAATGAAGAAATACCATACCAGGACCGTAGACGCCATCATCAAATGGTCTGTCGACAGGAAAGTCTGTTTCGACAGCGCAGAAGAGAACATGCTACGTGCGTTGGGCGGTTCCGGGCCACTGTGGGGCGGCAGCGGCTGAGGCGGCGTGGCCGGAAGACGGCGGCCGCAGCGCGCCCTTGCCCTCGGCCGTGACGACGCTCCGCCGTACGCCGGAGTACGCCCCCGCCGCCCCCGCCCCCGCAGCCGCCTCTCCTTCACGCTTCGGGCGGCGGCACGGCCACTCGTGAATGGTGCGGCGCGGCGTCTCGCCGTTGGAAGCCGCGCCGCGGAACGAAAGTGATGCCAAGGTGACGATGCCACACCTGAGCCTCACTTTCGAAGGAAACTTAAGTACACTTGCACCGCGGTTTTGTAGTAGCACACATAGTCTGCGCTTCCCGAAGATATATATTTTATATTATACAAATACAACATATACATTCTACGTTATGCATTCTGCTCTTCCCTGGTACATCAACAAACTATCCCTTCTCCTCTTCTTCTTCTTTTCCTCTTCCTCTTCTTTTCTCCGCTTTCTTCTCCTCCTTCACCTCACCACCTTCTCCTCCTCCTCCATCACCTCACCTCATCCTCCTTCACTTCACCTCATCCTCCTTCACCTCATCCTTCACTTCCTCCTCCTTCACCTCACCTCATCCTTCACTTCCTCCTCCATCACCTCACCTCATCCTTCACTTCCTCCTCCTTCACCTCACCTCATCCTTCACTTCATTCTCCTTCACCTCCTCATTCTTTTAATTCTTATTCTTCTTCTTCTTCACATTCCATTTTGTCTTCCGTTCTTCATCCATCCTTGATTCTTCGGGCATTTCGCAGTATTGAATGTTGATGACACGTGGGATCCGAACGGTGTTTAGTTTACTGTTCCATGTCACAGTCGCGAGGAGGAAAAATATCAATCGTATATGTAGTTACGCGAAATTTAAAAGCAATGCCCGCGATGTCATTTCAGCTGTAAAATGCGAATACGTTCATTGAGGCCAACGTTATCGAAATTATCTGGCTCTTGGCCAATCAACAAACTCAACAATCAACAACTTCAACGTTGAAATGAGTTCGATCATTTGTTCTCCCCTATGTATTTTGAGTATTATTACCTGTTATAAAATTTTGGAAAAATGCATTTCCTTGTCAACCTTGCTTTCTTATTCAACTTAATGCGTAGTTCGTTTGTCGACATGAAGTAGTCTCAGTAAGGAACAATTTTTATCATATGGTTCTTAACTCAATCTCACTTGCCTTTAAAACACATGTTCGTTACGTAGACACATTATCCTGAATACAGGCTTAAGAAGTTATTAGAATGATTGTAAGAATTGACTTCAAAGACTCCGTGAGTTGAAAGCCACTTCTGTGAAGCTCACTAGACGTCAGTGATGAGTGGCAAAATTGATGGGGCGGCCACTTCTTACGACCCTTTCCATCATCGTCACAAGTGTCATCCGACGTGTGAAGCATGCGAAAGGCTGTTAACGAATCAAGGGAATGGCTAAATAGGAACCGTTCGCAAAGGAAGAAGCGTATTCGAAGTGAGCATCGGAGATCGCGAGGATCCGTGGAGTTAAAATGGAGAACACGGTTGAACTTCAAAGCAAATATTTTCATAATGCGATCTGCCTTCACGGTTTATTAATTTTTTTGTCAAAGACATATGTTTGATTAAAACAGCGACATTTCTCATTTCGGTATGTGGTAGGGTGTAGGAGAATACATTGGAGCGCGAGGTAGTAATGTTAACTTGGCCAATGTAAAATATTATCACTTTTTTTGCTTTCTCGCATATTGCAACACAGTATTGTAATGCTTAAAAAGCCGCGAATTTTCATTAAAAAAACCTTATAGATGGGCCATGATATCGCTGAAGTGAATAAGTATCGTTCCTTTACGTTGTAAATTACTTGATCTTACTACTTCCGTAGTAAATTACACTTCTGTAGCCAGAATCTAGGTTTTTTAGGACCTTGATACCGATTTTTTTTTTTTTTTGCGAAACTGTTCGGCCCGTATGTGAACAGCTCTAACGGGTAAACCTTGAGAAAGATTTTCACCAAAATTGATATTCCCCTATAGATCTTATTTATGTCGCAGTCACATGAATTTCAAAAATATATTTTGATCTGTTTCAGAAGTGGAGTATTTTACGTAAAGACTCAACATTTCCAAAATTTACTCAAAAATGGCCCCAAACTTTTTTGGGCATTTTTCAACCAGATAGAGCAGAACAAACTAAAAGAAATGCGTTGTAGCATTTTCGTTGATCTCTCTGAATTTGAGTGAAATAATGGCAATTTTTAAACAATATATTCTAAAAAACTGCTGAAATTTTTTTCTTTAACTTTCTTCTTGTAATAATCGAAGAACAGTAAAATGAAAGTGGTACTGGTCTCAATTTCGGCGAACTCTGTATTTTTATACAATATTTATTTATTTACATATTTACTTAGGTTGCTTTAGAAACTACCTAGGTCACCAGCGTCCGCTGTTATATGAAGCATTAGTACGATTTTAAACATTAGGAATAAGACATGTTGGATACAACTCACGCATGCAAAGAATTATTAATTATCTCTTATGATTGTGTTGTGAAAGATAAAGGCAAAACAAGGAATCCTAATAATACAAACTAAATCAAATATCCTAAGACGATGTCTTATATTGCCCTATATTTCACTCAACAATGTGGTGAGGTACTTCATCCCAATTACCACTCTGACAGTAATATAAAGAATAACACACTCCACAAGAGATCAACCACATTCCTTGAATTTCTTCATTTTTCATTTAGGGAGCCAAGAAAAACCTCCTGAAGACTACAAATTATAATCTACATGGACTAACGAACAACAAAATAAGGTTTAGAATAAACAAAGGGAGACAAAATGTGATCTGTCACTTATTTCAAGACAGATGGGTAGTCAAGCAGGTTTCTTCTTGAAATATATTAAGATATGATACTTAACCATTCCCCTAAATTGCCTAACCACAAACACATTGAAAAATACTGATTACCATACCCTCATCAGCAAACCCCAACAGAAATATAAAGTATACAGGAGTTACTCTGAGAAGGGACCACTATGAAAGGTGGAGAAACAAATGAACATCACGCAGAGCGATGGCATTGCAAAATATGGTGATGAAACCATTTACAAATGAGCACTGACAAAACGAATGCACTGACAAAAAGAGTGCATGGACGTAACTTGCAGATGTATTACCAGCAGTAGCCAAGCAGTAGCTGTCATAGCGGTCCCATGACATTAGATTATTGCTACATCTCCTGCCTACAAAAAGAATATTTTTAATTCATTCGTGAACATCCTTCTAATTGGGGCTCGTAGTCTCAGAATGGTGCTTACCACTGTTAAAAATATTCAATTTATAGGGCAGGAGGTGTTACAATGATTTAATGTTATCGGCCACTACAGAAAAATTGAAGTATATATCAATTATTTGGACGTGATCGACCACGTTGTGTTAGGGTTATGCCTCCAGACAACCTTGCAACCCACTCCGTCTTCCAACAGCTCCCCGCAGCCCGCCCGCACGCCAGCGCGGCGCGCGCGCCGACGGCCGACCCGCGGGGTCCAGCGGCTGCCGCCAGCGCCCGAGG